AACATAAAAGCAGCAATGAGTTTACCTCGTATTCCCCATGTGAGAAAGCATCCTTTAATCATAGTTTTTAGGCCTTTCACGAAAGTAATGTCCTTTTCCTGCAAGAAAAGGCGGAGGAAAGGAATCGAGCCATTGTGTTCTTCAACTTTAGGACTTAAGATAGTCAGACAGAAAAAACCACAACAATTTTGCAATTTTTGGGAAGACTTCTCAGGAACCTGTTTATGACAATGATGCATTCACTGATGTGAAACATGAATGCAGTAATTAGGAAACTCCCTTGACAAGAAGAGGGTGCTGGTAGTGAACTAACAGGCATGGACCACAACCAAGAAGTCTTTTATATAAATGAGAAACACACTGCAGAAAATATCACATCATAGATACCACTTATCATGAAAATCTAACATAAATTAATTAGATGAGGAGGAAAATCTGGTGTGCTTAAGCTCGGTTTCCAGATTAAGACTACATAACACGGAAAGAATAATTTGATAGTATCACCATCAAAAGGTTTTCTTTAAAACCCATTTCACCAAGAGACTAATCAAGGAAAGCCAGAGTGAAGCAAACAACATTAATCTTTCTCAGAGGTAAAAAAAAATAACTTAATGGGATTATGCATACCTCAAACTGCAAATCATGCTCTAAAAATTTATAAACTAAGTTATTTGGAGAAAGCAAACCTCAACGCCACAAAAGGTTGTTTATTGATGTTGAGGGATTCAATATCCAGTTTAGTATACAACTGGTTTACAAAAAGTAGAGAACTCATTGGTCTCAAATAATACCCAGTTGCCTTTGTTAGCAGGAACCTAATTGGTGCACCAAATTGACTAGGAACAGACACCAGACTTTCATCTACACAAGATTATTTTCTCTCCCAAAGAAGGTTCTATTTCCTTCGTTCCAAAGTAAAGGAGCGACATAAAGTCCAGCTAAATCATACATTTTCAGCACAGTCCACCACAGCTACTAGGACCTGGGATGCAATAATAGGTCATTCAAAATCATTACAGTTTCAGAAACTGGATCCATTTTGATGAGGAAAATAAACCTGCTACTCACGTTTTGGGAATGCCACCTGCTGAGATTTTCCTTTCAGCTGCTGTGTTCAACTACAGCGCCCGGATTGTGCCAAACGGGAATGGCATTGGTGCCACGTGTCTTATCTATAGCACTTTCAGAGGCCATAAATACCACAACTTGCACCTTCCTCTAGGCTCTAACTCACTCTTTAAAACATCAGCATCAATGTAGAGGTGTTTCTGTGGTCTGTGGATACGTTCGCAGCAAACTGATGGGAAGATGAAGAAAAACAAATAAAATTCTATTACAAGGTAACAGCTTGTTCATGAAGTGCACTTTCTCCCGCTCCATGACCTGTTTAATGCCAAAAAGTCAACCACATCACATTATACTACCACGAGTAAGATAAATACAGGGACCATTAAAAAAGGAAGCAGCTTTCTTTCATTGTTACAACATATAAAACTACAAGAAAAAAAACTTTTAACGAACGGACATTCAGTCACTTGAAGTCCAGATCTGATCGATATCAATCAATTAAGACTGAAAAAATGTAATTGTCACCGGTCGCAAAAAGCCCTGCTTTTGCTTCAGTAAATGTTAATGTTATCCAGTCATTATAAACTTTTTGATGGCTGTTTCCTTAAACTAATTGTGTGAACTTTCAATGACCACACATTTAAGGGTAAAATTTCTCTTCGCTAATTGCCCATTTAGACATTTGATCATCCTGGTTGATATAGAGTTTGAAAACACATTTCTCCTTGTTAATATGAAACTCTAACAAAAAGGGAGTCCCAATTTATGTGATGTTGTTTGGTTTGGCAAGGGGTTTAAGTAAGAAAAAGACTTTTGAAGCCTGTAGTCTAAAATAAGTCATAGATGTTTGTGTAGCTAGCTATAAATCATTTCCATCAAGGATAAAATACGCATTTTAAAGTTAAATTGTTACTAAATATAGAAATGTGTAATTCTTTTTGGAATCAACTAAAAAGGAAAGTCAGTCATATAAATTGATATAAATTGGGACAGAGGGAGTACACTGTAGATTCAAAATATTGGAATATTTACTGATACAAAATACTTTGGAATAATTACACCAATCAACCAAATGTAGCTTAAAGAAACTTTTTAAGCTATAGATGCACATTAATACACCAATTAGAAACATAAATTTAGCTTAAATACGTTTTTACACTAACAAAGATTTCTTCACAAAAGAATCAAACACCAAAATAGGAAGTTTCACTTCATATGACAGCAGTAGTAGCATTTCACTTCATCTTCTGGTAACCATCAGCAATTCTGTAATCAACCATAAAAGCAACAAAAGAAGTCCCACCGAGAGAAGTAATAACAGCCATAAGCAACCATACCCAAAAAGGAGCAGCAACAGCATAAAAATAAAATCAAAAGCAGCACTACTTGACAGCAGAAGATCACACATCAGAAAAAGAGAAGCAATAGCATCTAAACCCAAAAAAGCATGGCTGCCCTTAAAACAGAAAAATCCACAACATATCATTTTGCTCATTGAAAGCTTCAAAGATCAATGATAGAAAACAAGGGGCCAAATTCAGCATTAACCATTGCATCAAGATAATACAAGAACAAGCAAAAAGGTGTAAAACGAACTAACACTGAGCTAGAAGTATCCTATAAGTATGACATGGCTCAATAATAAAGAAATGATACAGATAAGATGATTGCAAATGTTCTCAATCTGGTAGAGATACAAACATGCAACTCACGGTTAACTGAACTAATGTAAAGCAAGCAACCAACCATCTTCTCTTTTCTGAATTGTAGTCCAAAGATCAACAACCTTCAGATTCATCTCTTTGCACAGCTCTATAGAAGCCTCTGAATACTATCAACAGAACGCATTTGTTTGGATCAGTTCACTGCTATATGAACTGTTTGTCTAAGAGATGAAACACTTGTCTCAGTAATAAAAAAGGAAATGCAATTCAGTGACAAGGAAAATTGGAAACAAGTACATCCAAAAAATAAAAAACTTGACGCAGATGATAGGCATTGAGTTACCTTGTATTTTCATGAATTTAGCCTAATCAGCTGGTGGGCATCTGAGAAGATAATGTGATTATTCTCTGCACACCACCTCAAAAAGAAAAAGGAAGGTCAAAGACAAATTGACATACAACAAACAAGTTTGTTTATCAATGTGAAAACCAAGACAAATAAGTGACACAAGTCCAAGGTTTTTGGATCATTATGTATCTTTCCAAATCATTATGTACCTTAATGTCTATATGTAATCTTGAGCCAGCTATAAAAATTCCAGCTGGTCATAACCATATATTTTCAAACTAGGGTAGAGGGTCAAATGCCCCTAAACTCCGCGAAATGGTCTAGATATGTGTGTTAGCATGATGGACAGCTCATAGATCATGAATTAATAGTGAATAATTGTATATATTAATGTAACTATATAGTATTGTATATTAGTGTGATCATAGAGATTTGCTGTAGTAATCAAAGAGAATAAATATTGTGATAAAATTGCAGATTTGGAGGAATGATATAACAGATTTACAGGGATAGAATAGTTGATCTTAAGAAATATAATTTGTATACTTTCTATTTAATTGCAAGATTCTCAATTTGAGAGGCATTCAGCAGAAATTTGACATGGTATTAGAGCCTTCTCTTGGCTGTCTTGTTTCATAGAATCCATGTTCCTTCCAAAAAAAATAATTAAAATCTTGGTTTTGTTGACTGTTCGTCGACAATCAGTCTTTAACACCTAAAACTTCTGGTCTTCGTCATTCTAGTTGTTTTCTTGAGTCATATTGTTTCTAGTTGTCATAGCTTTTTTTTATTATGATGTTTGCATAGCTATTTAGGAGCATGATGAATTCACATCACTTTTGGTCCTTCAGTGTTTGTTTCACTGAAAAATTATTCTTCCTGGGGATTTCAATTTCAGTTATTTGTCACCGGAAAAGAACTATGGGGTCATACAGATGGAGGTGATCCTGCTCCAACTGATCCTGCTCCAACTGATCCTACAAAGTTAAGTAAATGGAAGACTAAAGATGCTCGGGGACACATCAGTTTCTAGTAGAAAAAATGATGCATCTTGATACACCAACATCAATTTGAGGGGATGTTAGCATGATGGACAGCTCATAGATCATGAATTAATAGTGGATAAATAGTATAATTAACATAACTATATAGTGTTGTATATAAGTGTAATCATAGAGATTTGTTGTAGTAATCAAAGAGAATAAATATTGTGATAGAATAGCAGATTTGGAGGGATAATAAAAGCAGATTTAGAGGGATAAAATAGCTGATATTTAGGGATAGGAATAACGGATCTTTAGGGATGTAATTTGTCTACTCTCTATTTAATGGCAAGGCTCTCAATTTGAGAGCCATTCAACAAAAAATTGACAATACACTCTGTTAATAGTTGGAGTCAATCATGCTCTTGATGCTATATACTAACACACATTTGACCGTATTTTCCAATCCAACAAACGGAATCGTTAAGAAAATAATAAAATCCAATAAAACAAAAATGAAAATAAAAAATGAAATAAGAAAAAAAAATAAAAAAATGCCTAGGTGTGGGAAGAAGACTAGGTTTTTCAATCTGGAGCGATTTTTAGTTTGTCCATGACAAAAATTATTGCCGTTCCACCATAACATTAAAAAACAGTTTATAACTATACAAATACAGGGGTTAAAGTTTAGTGACCACACGTGAAACTAACATGTTAATATAACTAATAACTCATCTGCCAGCGGAGCAATTAAATTAAACAAAAAAAAAGGAAGAGAAAATTACAGAATGTACCAGAATTCAGTAGTCCACACAGTTATTTCTTCAAATATTTGCTTATACTTTATCGAAGTTGGATATTCACTGTCAGGTGATGGTGCATACAGTAAGATGTCCAGCAACAAGTCTGACAGGACCTGTTGATTTTCACTTAGACACCATAGACTATTAATGGCTTAATTTCCTCTGAAATATTCCGGATAATACATTCAGTGAGCAATAACATCACCTTGGCCAACAACAGCATTCTATTACACTCCCAAGAAAAATTCTTCTTTCTCAATGGTCAGCGAACCATCCTCAATGTTTTCCACAGCAACATTCAAGTGATCTTAGACATCTGCCTCCCACAAGCAGCACTTGTCTCTAGATACTGCTTCTGGCTTTCTGTCAAATATGAGGCCTCCAACAATGAGTTTGTAAAGCACATACCATCCAGAGGATTCTTTATTTACTGACAAATGGATGCCAACTCTTTCATCCGAGATTGACACTTCTTTTTCTGTTGCCTCTGAACTCGTAGAGCTTTGCTGCAATTCAGGATCAGGAAAAAAATAAACGTGACAACTGAAAATGATGAAAATAAGATAAGGAGACTCCTCTTTTCGAAAAGAAAAACAAATCAAATTAATTAAGCATTAATATACCCTCTATAAGATTTACATTTTGTTCAGTATCTAGTCTTCTTCCCAATGGCAGAATTGATCCACTAACTTGTGTTAACCTATTTGGGTACCTATGTAGTTTATCCAAAAATCTAAACATGAATAATTAGGAGAACACACATATCCAGGATTACCTAAAGGTTGTCAACTGCGCATAGCATACAATCACCTCACAAATTAGACATGACCAGTACATAGGAGCCGCTTATCATATTCCTGAAAAAGGAATAACAAATAGGATTATGTACACCTGAGAATCTCCAGGTCAATAGGTCATCAGAGAATAATATACTAACTAGAACTGTACGCAAAAAAACTAGAGTTAAGAAATACAGAGAGCCGGTGGCTTACAACAAATAACAAATGGAATTCTGAGTGGACACAAGCTACAATGTGCAGCTCCATACAAAAGTCCATATTCTGTTGATACACACGGACAAGGGAAGGAAGCCCAACAATATCAGAGAGATCATACCCAGCCTCTAAGCTTGTGTTCATCATAAATTTTCTTTCTTAAGAAGCAAATCATACATAAAACGAGCTTCGTGCCACTTATTTTCTTCACCCAGTATACAAATCAACAATTTAAGATTATGGCCACAAGGGACATATTTATTGGCAAGCATATCGTGACATATCTTCAGTGCATGAACTCTCCAATTACTAGCACAAAGAGAACTGAGAAGACTTTCATATGATGCCTTAGAAGGGGCCAATCCTTTTTTGAGCATAGTGTATGAGAGTGATAGAGCATCCATGAGCCTTCCGTGCTTGCATAGACCTCTAATTAAAGTGTTGTAGACGATGTTATCTGGAGGACAACCCTGTGCATTCATTCTGTTGAAAAGACTAACAGCACAATTAATTTCACCACTTCGGAAATGCCCATCAATTAGAATGGTAAAAGTAACTTGATTTGGTTGGATGCCTTCATTTTGCATCGTATGAAGGTGCTTGTATGCATCTTCCATACTCTCTGCCCAGCAAAACCCAGAAATTATGCCATTATATAAGTACAAATTTGGCATTAGGGGAGTGGCCTTCACTTTATTTATCAGCCGAAGTGCAAGAAATTTTATTTGTTCCTGAGAGCTAATTGAGATTTTCAAACATTTTTCCTTAGGCAACATAGCACTCTGATGAAGTAGGCGGAACAACATTTCCTTAGATTCTTCATACCGTCTCTGTGGAACAAGCCCTTTCCCATCGACTGACCTAATATTTCTAGAAACGCCACTGACCAATGTAATATAAGTTACCAAGTCTCGCTCAATCTCACTTCTTTCCATCAAATCAACCAACTTAAATGCGAATTCAAACTCTCTCTTCCTTAAGAATTGTTTTATAAGAGAAGTATAAAGAACAGTATTTGGCATGAAACCCTCTTCTATCATTTGCTTGAGGTATACACAGCCCTTTTCTATCATGTTTTTCTTAACTAACCCATTTATAAGAGCAGTATAAGCATAGTGGCTTGGTTGAACTCTATCTTCCAACATTGTAATGAAGAGCTCATGGGCCTGAATAGCTCGCCCATTTCTTGATAGAGCATTAATCATTGTCACAAACAAAATTTTATCAGGATAAATTCCAGCCTCGAGCATTCTCCGGAAAACTCCAAGGGCCTCGTCTATTCTCTTTTCTCTACCCAAACACCCAATGACAGAGTCATATATAGCAACAGTAGGCTTCAATCCACTCTCTTCCATTTGGTCCAGAACTTCTAATGCTGATTGTATGTCACCCTGTTTACAGTATTCATTTACCATAATCAAGAATGTTGCTTGATTTGGAACTTGACCTTGATCTTGCATAACTTCAACAAGGAACTTGGCATCCTCATGTAGTCCCTTTTGGTAAAGGCACTTGATCATGGAATTATAAGCTGACAGTGAAGGCTGAAGAGAAAGGCTTGACATCTTATCCATGCAAAGCTGAGCAGAATCAAGTTCTCCTCCTAGACACAAAGCAATCATATATATATTGAAAGCAACACTAGCCAGAGGTAAGTTTCTTGCCACAATTTCTCCCAAGAGACGATCAATATCAAGCATGATATCTGTAGTAACTTTACGACTGGTAGGGCTAGGGATGTAAGAGAGGTCAATACCACAACCGTTCTTGGCAATAGCCCGCAAAAATGTGCACGCTAGACTAATCTCTGACCCTCTTGGATGATTGCTGATCAAGGTAAAAAACAGAACATGGTCAGGAACCAATCCAGTGTACAACATCTTCCTGTATAAGTCATCTACTTCAGCTAACCGATTCTCTTTATAAAGTGCAGAGATCAAAGCAGTATAAGAGTGAACACTGGGAGGAACGTTGCACTGATTAATGTCATCCAATAGCGTCAATGCGCAATCAACTTTATGGTCCTTGCAATACTTGGCAATCATGATTTGGTAACTTACCGCATCAGGTTCTAATCCAAATTCAACCATCTGCTGATTCAGCATCCAACCCTTGTCGAACATGCCCAAGTTTATAAACCCATTGATCAGCGTGTTGTAAGTATACTTATCCGGTTCACAGCCTAACTTACGCATTCTGAGAAATAACATCATAGCCGTTTTCATTTTCTGGATCTTGGAATAACCGTTGATGAGAGTCGTGTACATGACTTTATCCAAAACAAAACCATAAGATTCCATATCCATGCTCAACAATTGCGCTTCCTCAACTCTGCCTCTCTTAGACAACGAAAGAATCAATGTTTTAAACAAATGAACTGTGGGTGGTACCCCTCTATCACACATTTCGTCAAACACATAGAGTGCTTCATCTAAGTACCCACGGAAGCACAAACCATCCACTAACTTATTGTAACAACTGAAAGCCAGTAATACCTCTGAATTAATAGCTTCAACAAAAACATCAAATCCATCCAAGATTCTATCTTGGCCACAAAATCCCTTAATAAGCTCATTACACGTGCTACTACAAGGCATGAACTTCATATCCACAAGTTTATCAAAAAGCAACTTAGCTTCCTCCAATTTACCTAAATTACAATAACAAATCGCCATGGAATTCAATACAGAATGGTTCGTCTCAATACCTCTGTTCAAAATGCAATCTACATAGAGAGCCTCAGCCTTCAGGGTTTCTCCAGATGTCACAAGTTGCCGAAAGAGAAAAGCATAGCTAGTTGCATCAGGCTCAACTCCACGAGAAATAGAAAATTCAACAGCAGAGATAGCTTCAGAAACTGATGAGGAATGTTTGATGATTCTCCGAATTACTTTCTGAGCTGAATCGAACAACCCACGAACTATTAAACTCTCTGCAAGTGAAAAACACAAGGTCTTGTGATTAACTGGGGAAGTGTGAACACATGATATTGCTTCCGAAGGTAAAGGGGAAGTAGTTAAAGGTCTCTTTGTCCTTGAAAGATGGAAGCACGAGCGAGTGTGCAGTCCAAGTCTATGCTTGGTCATTCTAGAGTGGAGAATGGCGTTGTCAGGAACTGAGAGGACCACCGGCGGCAGGTCCTTATGATTGTATTTTTGAGCATATGACGGTAGACAGAGAGCTAACAGCCTCTTCAATTTCAGTCTTCCTTTTGTCTGCGGGGCAGCAAATCATTCAAACCGGTGCCCTCTGCACAAATGCCTTTTTTTAGGTCACTCTTTTAAATCAATTGGTTAAATTTGTAAGCTACAAGAAAAAACTTACTCCATTCAGCAACTGTTTTTTAAGGGTGAAATTTAAGTTAATTAGTCAGCATAGTTATAGTTTTAGTTAATTATCACCCTAGATCAATATTCAGTAATAATTATTTGGACTGGGGTTTCGAGTTTGTATAATTCGCACATTTATATAATATAATTTGTATAACTTTTGTATAATGTAATTTTGTTTAATATAATTTATATAATTGTTTAAAGTTTAGATGTTTGTGTTTGTATAAATTCATTATTTCGAGTTTATACAAAAATAGTTCAGTTATACAAATGTACTCGTGAATTATACAAACGATGTAGTTTAAACTGTAACTACAGCTCGTAAATATTCAAACTATAATTATAGAACATAATTAAGTTTATAACGATGGCTATTTAAAAAATTTCCCCAAATTTAACTCATTAGATTAACAGGGAGAGTTTAAAGAGGTCCACAAAAAAGGCCTTGGCACAACGGAACTGTTTTCTTGTAGGCCTCCGCAATATGTAGAGGCTTGACAATCGGACTAAGAAAATTTGGCATGGTGTACCAATTAAGAGAAGAGATTGGTAATATTATTTATTAGCTTAATTTTGAAAAAATGACATAAAATGACTCTTTTTTTTAGCCAATAAAAGCAATAACTAATGATTCATATTTTTTTTTCCCTTTCTCCTAAAATATCTCTTCTTTCACCTTTTAATCTCTCCTCGTAAAATCTCTCTATTTTAATTTGTAAATTTCTCAAATTAATTCACAAAGAGTCTCTACATTGTCCATATCTTGGTTAACCATATGAGATTTTATAAAGAAAAAACAATTATTTTCAAAAAGAATTCTAGGGCTTTTAAAAAGATTTTTTTAAAAAAATAATTATCAAAAATCAAGCTAGTGATTCCGATTTTTAAAGATTTCACATCCAAAATTTCAAATTCATCACATGCATGATCTTCTCAGACCTAAAATCGAAGTAAAATGAGAGGAAATTGAACAAATTATTTTTCATAACCAAGCATTGAAGTTTAAATCACAAATAGAGTTTTGAATTACTTTTTTTAGGAAATTTCATTTCGAATTTATTTACTGTCTCTATCTTTTATTGATTGAATAATAATGTTTATATCTTTGTAGATTGTTTTAATATTCTATAATTCTGTTGATTTCGAATTTTTAAATACCTCATGGCTTGATATACTTTTGCTTATTGAAATTTCTATCAATTAATCATCAATATAGTTGTTGACAAGTATGATGGTGAATATTTATGATATACGGGGATGAATTTGAATGTAATACTGAGTGTTTTGGGACAGAAGGAGTACCGCAATTTGAGTTAATACACCTAATGTATATAGTACTGATTGTTGAATTTTCTTGCAATCTAGATTTGTATACATATTTATTGTTGTTGCATGCATTTTGTTTTTCTATTTTTACTATGGAAGTCATTTTCCTTATTTTTAAGGATAATATTTTTTCAAGAATTTTGATCAATCGAGCATAGAAAAATTGGAAAACATTTTTCAAACTCCATACAAAACACACTCTGAATGGTGGTTTGAAACAAACTAATAGAGCATTTTAAAAACCAAACGAAATATGTTATGATATGCAACAATGAATAAATATTGAAAAATCACGTAACGCTCCAAGGATTTCTGTTTTAACATGTTTATTAGATATTCTCGCGAAGGGTAAAGTTAATTCTTCAGTGACATAGTGTGGGAGGAATCACCAGCTCTTGAAATTGTTGGGTAAACCTAAATATAAAAATAACTTTTGCCCAAAAAAAAGTTCGCCAAAATATTTTATTTATTATGTTGTGACTATTTCTTCAAAAGGTATTAAAAAAAACAAAAAAACTGCGTATATAACACCTAAAGTTATGGCAAGGCTAATTTTTCCTTTTAAAAATCAAGAATAAATTTATGTGTTGATTATTGAATCAAATTCTATTATTGGAACTTTATTATTTTTATCTAAAATTTGTCAATCAATTGCTTATAAAATTATGTTAACAAAATTCTTTTATAATTGCTTTAGCAAAAGAATGTTTTTCAACATCGAAATTTATAAACTTTTACCTAAAATTAACAATAGAGAAAAATTATTCAAACAAATCAATAATAAAAATATTATTCAAATAAATCAATATATATAAATTTATTTGTTTAGATCATGCAAACTCACGCTCCAAAACCTTTAAAAGGTTTGCTCTGGAAGATTTAAGCCAACTCCGTCTTCTCGGAAATCCTCCAAAAAAAAAAAAAAAGAAAAAAGCTTTCTAGCCCAAAACTCCTGAAAAAAAAGTAGTACGCTGAACTTCATGCTTGATCTCCGTTACTCTTGTTGAAGGACTCCAAAGGAGATGCTCATATTGGGTTTGTGCTCAGCACGGACCTTAGCCTATCTAGTCTAGACACAGTTTCCATAGTTTCACCGACAGACATTTCTAGAACTTAGTCAGAGCTGAAGATTCCCATCTTATGTAGATACCTATACATGAATGAAGCCTGCAGGTACTAACCCAAAGTGGACAAATATGCATGTGTTGATGACAGTTATTACCTATTGAATGATCGGTTGTTGATTGCACATTAGAATCATTAGCTGCCTTATGTCCACAATGGTGCCTGCATGAATACAGCTCTATACACAAGAGGGTAGAGGGACGGTAAGTAAGTCAAAATAGAGGGTTACCTATTAGAGCTTGGATGATACACAAACTACATGGAGCCTTTCATATATATTCATAAGCTCATTGACACGCCAAATATGCAATAACAATTAACACTAGAGCCATCTGAATAACCAAATGAAAAAGATTCTGTTTTATCATCTGAATGACCAAAAGATAAAAGGAACTAAACCAACCATGGTCAGCAACTCATTCCGCAATCCGGAATTAATAAAATTTGTTACCTCACTTAAGGAGTAACCATCCAACGATCTCCCTCTAGCAGCATTATCCATGCATAACTAATGAATCTGTTTTTTTAACTTCATGAGAATAGGTGACCCCAGATGAGCGGGGATCAGAACCTCTGACAACGTTAAACCAAAATAGATCATTAAAGAGTCACGACAATGAAGTTATACCTACCGCTAATTATAGTGAAGATAGAGAGATGATATAGTCTCAAAAAAACATTTTCACACATGATGACAATGGCACTTCGGACTCCAACACATACATTCATGAATTTGGTGAGTTATAAAAAAGTCTACCTCTTCAAATTTCAAAGTTCAGACATCTACGTTTTATAATCCTCTAGTACTTGTGAACTGGACTCCTGGACCTCTTGGAACCATGTCTAATAGGAGACCGTGACCGGCTTCTAACACGTTCCCGGTATCTCTCCCTGCTTCTGTTTCTCCCATTTCTGGAAGTCCCATGTTTCCAACCTGAACCCCTATCAAAATCACGCCCTACTCTGCCATTTCTGTCAAGGGACCTGTCAGGGTCACGATCTCTTCCCCGGTAGCGATCCTGTTCCCTGTCATGATCTCGATCTTTGTGCTTGTCCCTGTCAGATGAGTCACTTCTTCGTCGTCTGCTATCATGTTCTTTCTCCCTCAGCTTTTTCCTTTCTTCTGCTTCTTTCTCCCTGGCTAACCTTTCCTCTTCCCTAGCTTTCTCTTTAGCAGCCTGGAAGCAACATTTACAGTCCATTGCATAGAATATCATTTGTAACTAAAAGGCAGAAAAACAAAGTTGCATTCTGTGGTTTTATAAGGAAACAAAAAGGAAAATTTGGTGAGAAAATACCTTGAACTCGGATAAGAAATCTCGAACCATCCCATAACCAACATGCTGCTTACCAGTGACGTGAGACTGAGTTCTCTCTGCAGCATCATTTGCGACAAGAAAGGAACCACATGTCTCGCACAGAGCCATCTTTTTCTCTGGTGCAATCATTAGTGCACTGTTCTGCAGGGATTGCTGAGTCAAGGCAGTCTTTTCAACGTTAAGCATTTCCACCTACATAAATATCAAGAAGTTCAGATACTGTCAGAAGACTATACCATCACGATATTGCAAAATTCAAGACAAAAATGAATAGTAGGCCCCTCAGCCAAACCTTTCTCATGAGAGCTTCAGCTTCATCAACTTTCCCAGCTTCACCAAGAGACTCCACTTGTTCTAGCAAGTTCTTAATCTTCTCCTCCAAGACAGATAGCTGCTCAGATTTTTCTGCTGATATTGGAGGAGGTGGGGGAACTTCAACCTCCTGAGCAAGGCGTTCTCGACCACGCCTCACTTTCTTATCCAAGTCCATCACCTATAAAAACCACAAATTAACTATATGGCATATTTATTCAGAGAACACGTTGAAACAGCACTTTGAAACTCGTCAGTCAATAACCTACCAATTTCTCACAAAAATGGGCTAGTTCTGCTTCAAACTTGGGAACATAAGAATCATGTCTTGGAGATTTCTCAAAACTGAAGAAGAAACAAAAAACTTTTAGAACAATGAAATAGTAGTGCACAAATGAGAAATCATAATGCACAAAAAAATGAGATAAAGCGACTTTTGGAGAGGCAGGTAAAACCACTCAAGCTACAGCACTAGAAGATCTCCATACAAACAGGGAAGACTAGTACACCAGCAAATGATTTAACGGGTCGTTTGGTTGGGAACAAGTTATAATTATCCTGGGTTTAGCTATCCTGAGATAACTTATCCCACCATGTATATGGGATAAATTATCCCATCACTATGGTATAAATAGTGGGATAAGTTATCCTAAACATGGCAACCAAACAAGACACCAAAATTTTATCCCAAGACTATTTATTTTTATCCCTCGCACCAAACGA